AAGTATCCAGTGCAGTCCTATAGGAGCTGAATAGCTAGCCCGACTATCTGGCTCAGTGGTAACGTCTCTGACTGACTACAACCCAACTGAGTGATGCGGGTTCGAATCTCAAAAGAATAGACATGAGCAATTCATTCTGGTTACAAGGCTAGCGAACTTGTGGACCATTAGGCCACTGGAGCCCGATGCAATGGTCCATGACCTCGCCTTGTAACGAATAGATCCCGGGTTCGACCCCCAGTGGGTGTGTACTGTGAAGAGTCCCGGACTGGACTGACGAAACAGGTGGCTATCCAGTACTCCCTGTGGCAGGTTTTTCAATGGTTCTCTAACTGATATCAGTTCATGATGAAATCCTCCAATTAAATCGATAATTTTAACAGATCAATTTGTATTTATTGATTATTTTCTTTTGTTTCTCTAATATTAGCTAATTTTTCCAAGTGTTATTGAACATAAAGAAGTATTCTTCACTAGCTGAATTGCACACACACACACACAAACACACGAAATTCCAACTTCTCTTTTAAGTATATTTATGTCAGTTTAGAGAGAGAGAGAGAGAGAGAAAGAGAGAATAGAAAGGAGTAATACAGTAAATTGTTTAACTAACACTTCAACAATGTACAAGTTGTATGTAAGATAAACAGAAGACGATGATTCAGTGCATCTGCTCATTTTTCAAGTAACGGTAGCCAGTCTTATCACGTGAAACACTCTACCCCCCCCCTCCCCGCTCTTTACACTTGCAGTTGCACTCCCCCCCCACACACACTACTATGACCATAACAATAGTTGCTACTGTGATTACACTAAGATTACCAGATTGTGATTCACTAATAATAATAATTAGAATAATAAACACCGCTCGCACGCACGCACGCACGCAGGCACACACACGCCCCTACGCACTCACACACACACTCACACACTTTCATCATCATCATTTGTTTTGTTATCATATAAAGGTTGTTACTTTACCAAGCAGACATTGGAATAAGGAATTCATTAACACAAAGAACACATTCAATTTGATCTGTGTTCTTTTCATCGGATATCTTAAACCACAGTAAAGAATCAAACCTTGTAAGTCAGTTATTTATTTACTTATATTGTATATAGTTGGAGGATTTCATCATGAAGTGGACAGCCAGGTGTTTCGTCAGTGTAGTTTGGGACACTTGACCAGTATGTACCCACCGGGATTCGAACCCAGGATCTACTCGCTACAAGGCAAGCTCATGGGCCATTGGATAGGGTCCCAGTCGCCTAACGATCTACGAGCTCGCTAGACTTGTAACCAGAACGTCCTGGGTTCGAACCCCGTAGTGTGGGTGCGTACTCTTAGGAGTCCCAAACTAGTGGGACGAAACAGCTGGCTGTAAAGTACTCGCTCCAGGTTTCCCAATGGTTGTCTAAGTGATGTCAGCTCATGATGAAATCCTCCAACCAATCAAACAAAATCCTTACAAAACCAATACTTGAAAATTATCGATTTGTTTTTGGTTTCTTTAATGGAAAGATTTCATGGATTGGATCTCTTTTATTTCATACTGACTAACATTGAAATCAGGATGGAGATTTTCGTTGTATTTTGAAATTCTTCAGTTGAATGTACCTGCATGCTAATCCGTACGAGTACAGTTGACTAGCACACGTCCGAAGGTCCACTGTAAAAATGGAAAAATGATAAAAGAAATCAACAAACATGAAACTTGTTAGCATATTTAAGATAAAATTTAACGATATGAGATGGTTTGAGGCAATCAGCAACCATCTAATAGCATCCAATCAGTGTGCACCATGACATTGAGCTACCTACAATGGTGACCGTATTTCAAACCCACCCCGCCAAGGTTCGAACTCAAGACGTTCTGGTTACAAGGCAAACGAGCTCTTTGACCATTAAGTCACTGGAACTTGATCCAATGGCCAGCCAGTCCATGAATTCTAACTTTTGCTAATTCATGGCAGAGCGCGGCCACTTCACAATGTCTTCTTCTATGAGTTACTGCCTCACCTTTTTTTATTAATCAGTGGAAATGGCACAGATTTTATCATTCAGATGAATACACAATATTATTGTCATTGTTATTATTGTTCCCTTGGGTTCCTAGTGGAACGTAGGGCTACAACTGCACGTCTCCACTTGTTTCTGTCTGCTGCTGTACTTTTCACCTGCATCCATGTTAGTCCATACTGTTTCAGCTCTTCTTCACACGACCTCCTCCATGTCACCCTTGGACGTCCCACTCGCCGCTTCCCTTTCGGGTTCCACTCGACCGTTGGCCTGACGCGTGATGTCACCCAGCGGCGGCCTCCTCAGCGAGTGTCCAATCCATCTCCACTTTCTCCTGCATATTTGTTGGGCGATTGGTTCTTCTTTTGTTTGTTCCCATAGTTTCTTGTTGGTTCTTGTTCTTTCCGGCCATCTGATCTTGAGTATAGAACGAAGACAGCTGTTGATAAATGTCTGCAACAGGCTGTTGGAAATATTCTTTGTGACCCACCAAGTTTCTGATCCGTATAGAAGAAGAACTGACTGACTTGACGTTTGTATTGAAAATCCGAATTTTGTTGTTGATGCTGAGTTGAGTGACGAAGATTTCCAGATTGGTTTCAGGTTGATGAATGTGTTTCTCGCCTTCCCGATTCTCGATTTGACATCCTCGTCGTCCGTTCCGACTGCCTGTATTTGAGACAATGCTCCCTAGATAAGCGAATGAAGTAACCTCTTCCAAATCCTTCCCGTTGATCGTGATCAGAGAAATACACCATAGGGAAGGATTTCAAGAGAAAACGATATATAATGTTGCATTAGTCTACTGCTAAGGTATTCAATCAGACTGCGAATTAACCGACATTTTGCTAGACTATTCCCATAGATTAGAATTAATGTGTTCATGTATTAATTCGCTCAATAATCTTTTGAATGACTAATCAACTTGCTAATGAAAGTCAGTTTTCATTTGCAACTTATGAGTATTCTGAGTCAATCAGAACTCAGATGAAATTTGTTCTGTAGTATCTAGGTTATTCTAGCAGTAACGCACCTTTTAAATATATATTACAATTCAAGTGACGCGGCATTGTGCTCCTGTTTATCCCAAGCAAAATACTAAGCCACATCATCCTAGAAAGCATCGAACAAGCCCTGGATGAAAACCATCGGCCGGAACAAGCTGGATTTAGGAGAAACAAGTCACGCATCGATCAAAACGCCACACTAAGGATCATCATTGAACAAAGCTTGGAATGGCTGTCAGCTCCCTGCCTCAACTTTATCGACCTTTAAAAGTCCTTCAGCAGACAGCATCGATCGAGAGGTGATTTAGAAACTACTTCGCTACTATGGGGTGCTGCCAACATTTATACATCTCATCCAACAGTTGTTCAATAATGCTGCATGCCAAGTAATCCACAACGGCAAACAACGGAATCCTCCGAAGAAGTGAAGACGGGAGTAAGATAAGGCTGGCTGGCTGCCTACTATCTCCAATGATTCTGCTGATTGCAGCAGACTAGATATTGCGACAGAAAATGGGCAACGAGGAAACAGGCATAATATGACCCACACGGAAACCTTGGAGGATCTCAACTTTGACGATGACATATGTCTGATTTCCGACAAACTGGAAGACACGCAAGTGAAAAGAAACAAGTTGGCCGAAGAAGCATCAAAGGTAAGAAGTACTTCAGGTGAACATAGAGAAAACGGAGGTGATGAATATTCCTGGCCAACACCAATAGCATCAGCAACAGACACCAGTCAGCATAAATGGGAGAAATCTGAAAAAAGCAACCTCCTTTACCTACCTACCTACCCACCAACATGGGAAGCATCGTTTCAACTACAGGCGGACGGAACCGACGACGATTTAAAAGCGGGAATCATCGGAAAAGCAAGGTAAGCTTTCATTATTCTCAAGTCTGTGTGGAGTTCAACATCACTCAGCATGAAAATAAGATCCGTATTTTCAACTTGAATGTGAAGTCAGTACTGCTCACTATACGGATCAGACACGTGGCACGTCAGGATGGCCACTTCGAACAAACTACTCACCTTCATCAACAGCTGTTTTCACTCAATACTACTGAAGATTAGATGACCAAAAAGGATCAGCAATGGTGTGAGATCTCTGGGAGCGAACCAACACAGCAGTAAGCAGTTGTGCAACAAATATGCAGGAAGAAATGCAGGTGGATTGGTGGCCATACTTTGAGATACCCAGCAATTGACATCACAAGACAGGCTCTAGAGTGGAACCCGAACGGGAAACGGCAAGTTGGTCATCAGTGCGAGGGTTGCATGGAAGAGGAGGTCATGAGAAGAGGAGATGAAGCATGTGGGCAGACGTGTAGCCAGGTGAAAACGTTTGCGGAGAACCGTACGCATTGGACACGTGCGGCCGAAGCCCTATGTTTGTCTAGGAACTAAGGGAAGCAATAAATAATAATGTCCCCAGTAGAACGTGGGTCTTCAAGAAAGAGCTTTGAAGTTCCAATAGCACTGGTGTTTATTTTTAGGGGATGGCGTTGCTAGCCTCATATCCCAACTTCCTTCTTTACCAGTCTTTTTACTGGTTTAGCGAGGTGAAGGAATGTGTTGGTGGCCAGTGATTGAACCCCGAACTACATAACGCTTCGTTAGCGACTGTTATACCGCTGTGCCACCGAAGCACATAGAAAGTCAAAAGTGAGAACCAATGGCATAAAAATGTGATGTTTATCTCTTCCAGTGTATTAATTATATCACACATTATTTGACTTTAATGCCGAACACTTTTCAATTCATCTCCATTTTTTATTGTCCCTTTTTCTACTTTCATCACTGTACGTATACAGAGAGTATCAGATAGTTATATTCATAGACAGAGGTGTATCGTGTGTGTTTTTCGATCGTGAAAATGACCGGACTACATCAACAGCTACAACAACAACACCAATTAAAACACCAAGAACAAGATGAACAACGCATACTGTTACCTGATATAGATCAGAGTAATTCTGATATTAATGAAAATGATTATATGAATACTGGAATGTTAAGTAAAAATTATACAGAGACTAAAAAACTTCTGTTAAAGGTAGGCAATACATATTTAATAATTATAATAATTCTGTGCATTTTTTATAATTAGGTCAGTATTATTATAGGTATTAAAATAATCACAACAATATTGATTACTGTTATATTCAATAATGTGTAAGTGATTTATACCAAACAATGTGATAATAACAAGTTAAATAATAAATCTATTGCCTTGATAGGACAGCTATCAAAACTGTACTAAATGAACATCCATGGATATCACCAGTGTTTGGGTAAGTTATAATTGTATCAAACATTGTTAGTTTACTCGAGTTTTAATTTCCATTTGATGTTAAGCTGTAGGTGACATCTTTGTACATGCATTGCGTACCGGTTAGTGTAATTCAGTCTTATTTTGAGAAACACTTCCGTAATGCGCATATGTGTGTCGGTGGTACAGCGGTTAGGACGCTCGCCGACCAAGCACATGGTCCGGGGTTCGATCCCCGGCTACCGACGCACTCCTTTACCTCGCTGAGCCAGAAATAATGCTGGTAAAGAGGAAAGGTTTGGCATGAGGCTAGCAACCCCATCCTGTAAAATAAAAACTGCTACAGAAACTTCAAGCCACTAGCTTGAAGTCCTATGTTCCACTGGGGAACGTGAAGGAAAAAGAAAATGAGCATATATCACCCCAGTGGGTGGCAGGACAGCACATATTGATATCTACAGGTCCTCTGAGTGATGTCAATGTAGATTTTTCATCAAGTCATTTATTTTCAAGGACTAGATTATGAAGAGCCGTTTCGTCCAAGTTTGAGACTCTTCATCGGTGCGCGCCTTGGACGCCACCAGGGATTGAATACAACTCTCATCGGAAATTAAGGCCCAAAGTTATTTTCTTGGTGGGATCGTGAATGCTACTACTGAAAAGTCTTAAACTGGGACAAAACAGCTGTCAAGTACTCTCTGGTTTTTGGTAGTTCTCTAACCGATGTCAATCCTAGACCAAACTTGAAACAACTTATTTACTGACCCTCGTTCCGCTAAGTTGTTTTTAACTTGGTATTTTTGTTCATAACAAACCAGTTTTTCTTGTTTGGAAAAAACTGTATTTTGAAATTGTTGCTTGGTAATTCATTTGGCAATATCCTGAGTATACAGTGAAAAGATTGACCGAGCGTCCTAACCGCTGTATCACTGACGCATTAAGTGGCCCTAAAGAGGGCCAGTTCGACATACCGATGAACTTAGGTCTTCACTTTGTCGGTCTTCTTAGGCGGCAACACAGCCTGGATGTTAGACAGGACAACACCCTGAGAGATGGTCACACCACCGAGCAGTTTGTTCAATTCCTCATCGTTGCGGATGATCACCTGCAAGAGATGAGGGATGATACGGGTCTCCTTGTTGTCACGGGTGGCATTACCAGCCAATTCAAGCATTTCAGTGGCCAAGTACTCGAGGATGGATGCCAAGTAGATGGGGGCTCCAGCATCGACGCACTCAGTGTAGTTACCCTTGCTCAACAGACGATGCACATGGCTAACTGAGAATTGAAGACCAGCATGAGCAGATCGAGTTTTTGCCTCAGCACGAGAAATTCCACCCTTGCTGCGATCACTCATGATTGTACGTTAGGTTAGAGAAACGTGGATTACTATTGTGTTAAGAATAAGCCACAATGAAAATCGGTTCATCGACTTTCAACCTCGAACCAAGTGACACCTAAACTGTGTCAGGCTATAAGATATGCACATGTTGTGTGTGTTTGAGGCCCCTAGACACTAAAATCACCGATTTGCCTCCAGTGAAATGGTTAACACAGGAATCAAACTTGGGAACAGGTGAATGAATTTCCGATGACAGTATTATGAAGAAAGTCATAGACGTTAACAGATTTTTAGCAGCGAATCGGTAGGAATTCCTGGCCTAATACACATTCATGCTTATCCTGAATACAGTTGCATACTGCTGAAGTAGTGAGATCGGGGATGAGTACAATCCCCTCCCCACTGATTCGCCACCGAAATCTAACATCAAAACACACACACTGTCTCCTGCAGTGCAATATAACTTGTGTTAAAGCTTATGTAGTAGGTGTGACTGATAACTTTAACACATAAGCAGCATCAGTCAATATCTGAGAGCTACTCAGGATACTTTATGAAGATTTCTATACTGAGTCACCGCTATCTGATTAAGTTAATTCTATGAATTCAAATGCCTCAAACACACAATTTCCCATCCCTTGAACATGCTCTACACTTGAGCTCAACAGATAGTTCTTCCGAATGTAGTATAAAATAGATTAGTATTAAAATTCAATAAATTCTATGGAGAAAGACACTGTAATTGAACAGTTTGAGTCCAAAGAATTTCTGTAATAATTGCCAACTTACTGACGGTAAGTAAATCTGACTTCTGCGAGTAGATTTCAAAGATGAGGGTGCACTTCTACGTTGATCTCTTCATTGTAAGAGTAGAATCAAATCTCATTGTCTATCGTATGTTTTCGTCATTTTTAGCTAGTATGTTTCTATGATGACGTATAATTTGCGCCCATTTCATAGTTACCTTCCATGAGGTGTGTATATGTGCGTCGGTGGCACAGCAGTAGAATGCCCGCCAACCACGCCTCATGTGGTCCACGGTTCGATCCCCGGCTACCAACGCACTACATTACCAACTCCTTTACCTTGCTAAGCCAGTAATAAAACTGTTAAAGAGGGAAGGTTGGTCATGAGGCTAGCAACCCCGTTCCGTTAAAATTAAACACCAGTGCTACCGAAACTTCACAGCTTTGGCTTGAAGCCCTACGTTCCACTGGAACGAAAAGGAATAAACAGCTTCAGTGGATGTGCCCGTATGCCCCAGTGATTGTCGTTTCAAATGCCAATGTGCTGTCCACTAGACTCCTTGGATCATGAAATCCACCACCTGAGGAACGCTGATTAACTTGACAACGGGTTCGAACCACAGCGGAAACATCATCAAATCAAATCAGATGTGCATATGTGATAAGTTCGATGATGAATATTCTCTGACTTCATATTTGTAATTCTTTTGCTGTTGGCCCACATTACACACATATAAGAGAAGTACACTGTCATCCAGTAAGTCGGTTTTTATCAACTCTTTAGACATGTTAGAGGAGAATGAAAGTGGTGCATATTCTTGTAGTCTCTCTACACTTTCCTATTATAGTTCGACTAAGAATTCTTAGACTGTTTTGCAATAATACATAAACTTTCTCTTGAAATTTGTCATAGTTGACTGTGACAACAGGAGGTGACTATTTTTGACAACATTTCAGTAGAGACAAACAAAAACAATCTGCCATATTGAAATCTCCGTATGTTTTGCATTCGACATTCACCAGTTAGATGAGGTGTCAGAAATAAGGTCAGAATACTCAAGCGCTGTACATATTTAACACTCTCAGATGATTCTAAGCAATTAGCAGGAAGCCTTGAAAGAAGATTTCATGCTTATCAACACTCATCACTAGGGAATATCTGTGACCTTGAAGGATTAGATGTGGTGTCACCCACTGTTGCAGTTACTTAAGTTAACACTGAGCTATTATTCTTATTCCTTTGGGTTCTTAGTGGAACATAGGGGAGGCTTCAACAACAAATCTACACTTTTTTCTATTCTCTGCCATCCTCTTCAGCTAGGTCCACGATTCACCATAATCTCTCATCTCCTTCTCTCCACACGATCTCTTCCACGTCACCCTCACACCAACGACCAACTTATCGCTTCCCATCTGGATTCCACTCGAGCGATGGCCTGCGTTGCGTGCGATGTCATTCGGCGGCCTCCTCAATGTATACCTGATCAGTCCATCACCATTTTCTCATACATATTTGTTGAGCGATCGGTTCTTGCCTGTTACTTCGTTCCAACAGTTTCTTGTTATTTACTCTTTCTGGCCGGCCTGCAGTTTGAACTTCAGTATGGAGCCGGCCAGCAAAGTTGGCAGTTGTTGGTGAAATTTCGCAACCTTCTGGAAATTCTCTTCGTGACCGACATGCAGTGCAAGTTTCTGACCCGTATAAAAGGACCAACTTGACAGTGGTGTTTGAAATGCGAATCTTGTTCTTTATGCTGACTGAGTGTAGGAGATTTCCAAACTGGTTTCAGGTTGATGCAGGCGTGTAGGGGACTCTCTAGAGCGAGTTCATTAACATGACGAATATACGAATAAAAATCCAAGTCAATGAGAGTACAATGCAACAATATATTATCAATATGCAGTAATGAGTTATATTAATTAATAGGTTACTTGGATATGTTGTTAAAGTCCAATGCTACAAATTATTTATATAATACACAGAAGCGTTGACTGTTGGAATCGTGTCTACTGATAGAAGCTGTGTTCTGGTTGTAGATTTGTCTTCGGATAAGGATGATAGGTTCCTGCAATAAATCCAAAGTATACAACACGGTTTGAGTTGGGTGAGTAGACAGAAATGGCCAGAGAGAGGGCGGAGCTACCAGCAGTATAGTGTATTTCAAATTCCACTCGGAAGTAATATGTATTTAAACATAAATCGTTTTTAAACGAGAGTCATGTACAATGTTTCTAATTTCAACATCTAAACAAAAAGTGTACAATCATATGGTTACGTACTCCACAGGCGTATCACATCGTATGAAGATACCTAATAGTAAGTAAACAACAAAATACGCCACAACTAAAAGAGGAAACTCTCTTCAGTGTTAAACCGACCACTGTTGTTAGAGGGACTTATGCCATAGTCTTGAATACCTCTCACCCTCTCTCTCTCTCTTTATCTCACACACACACACACGCACAAGACTGACCTCTCGGCCGAGTTCAGATTACATTTCAAATCAATCTAAAATCCTGTTTTAAAATATCAATCAATACCAGATGATCATTTATTATTGATTTATTGAATTTATCTGCTTGATACATGTATATATCATATTTTATCATTATCATTATTTTTCAAGTATACAGGCTTTACTTTTCGGTGGACTACTCTTCTTTGTACCGAATTCATTGACCAGTAAACCATGGAATTATATTCTCCTCTCATTGATTGTGAGTACTATTATCTTTGTCACTATTACTATTATTATTAATATTATTTTTATTACTACTGTTATTATTCCAAGAGAGTGATGCTATAGTCCATGGAATAATTAGATGTCGACAGGATTTGAAATGGTAACTTCTGGGTGATTGAGAGTTTCATGAATTGCTAACTGCTTACCAGTTCATCATATTCCTGTATTCATCATCACTAGTGATGCCCAGATGGCGGGTAAATGAATGATATATTAGTAAAAAAATTATATTTGTAAAATCTCAGCGATATTGAAATGAGTAATTTCAACAACATTTCGTTCGGCGGTCTGGTCGGTCGGAACTTCTCAAGGGAAATTAATCAAAATTAACAGAACATAGGTTTATATATAAAAGGGACATCACTTGTTTTCAAAAACTTTGTCCAATCATGAGTCATTCAACAAGCATAATAAACAAAATTTTATGAGCTGTGATCAAAATTTGACACCGGACTTACAAATATTGGTCTACCTTTGTTAAACACTTTAAACAGAGTGTATATGTGTATGTGGGTAAACAGTTGTAGAACATTTCTTAACGTTTCCATAAGAAGATATGGACAGTCGAGAATTTTGACCAAGTATTAATAATTAGTGATACATATCCATTTTTTACTTATTAATAAGGATTTCCTATGCATCAGCTAACATCACACCTTCATGTCCGTTCAAACTGTTAGTATCTAGAATTTTATGATTAGACGTATTTTCAAAATTATGGACAGACATGATGGTGTGATGTTAGCTGATGCTCAGGAAATCCTTATTAATAAATAAAAAATGGATATGTATCACTAATTATTAATACTTGGTCAAAATTCTCGACTGTCCATATCTTCTTATGGAAACGTTAAGAAATGTTTTACAACTATTTACCCACACACATATATGCACTCTGTTTAAAGTGTTTAACAAAGGTAGACCAATATTTGTAAGTCTGGGGTCAAATTTTGATCACAGCTCATAAAATTTTGTTTATTATGCTTGTTGAATGACTCATGATTGGACAAAATTTTTAAAAACAAGTGATGTTCCTTTTATATATAAACCTCTGTTCTGTAATGTTAATTTCAATTAATTTCCCTGAAGAAGTTCCGACCGACCAGATTACCCAACACAGGAAACGTTGGAATTACTCATTTCAATCTCGCTGAAATTTTTCAAAGATTTCATCTTCAAACACACAAAACTGACTTTAGCTTTCTTATTCTCTTAATCATCATCATGCGATATAGGAGTCATTTTATCAGCTAAAATTTCATGGCTCAAGAGACTTCTATTTTAAGGAAAACGAAGTATGCGATGTTTTTCTTATCATGTGACATCAAAAATACCTGCCAATATTGTCTTTCAAGTGTGTCCCCCACATGACGACAGTGTCTTACTTACATACCGTAGATGTAATATCATCCAGACTCACATATTGACTAATCATTGATTTTTGATGACTCACTGATTGATTCAGTTAATCAAGATTTGTCGGAATAGTTTCAAAATAATTGGGCGCTGAGTGACAAGTACACATTCGTAAAAACTATATGTGTAAAATCTCAGCGAAATTGAAATAACTAATTCCAACGTTTCTTGCGTTCGACAATCTGGTTAGAAATTCTTCAGGGGAATTAATCGAAATTAGCATAACAGAGGTTTATATATAAAAATGACATCTCTCGTTTTTTAAAAAACTTTGTGCAATCATATTGTAACAACAGAAGACAAGGGTCAGGCAACAGATCGTTTATTAGGGAAATCAAAGCATATTTATATACTTTCATGTACATTATTATAGATTAGTTAAGCACACAAACACAGTCTTCTGATTGGTTGTTCCTCACTTAAAGTTAATCTTTCATCTCTTTGTGACTGTTTCTTGAATGTCAGATCATCTATATGTTAACTGTATCCACCTACGCGAAGTCTGTTGTGGTTGGTTGATGAATCAGTCTTTGTTCATATTTTCTCACGACCAATCTTGAGAACGTAAACATTGACGTAAACTACCCATTTAGCTAGCAGCCAGCTCTCACCACAATATGAGTCATGAAACAGTCATCATCAGATGCCATCAGTTAGAGAATCACTGGAAAACCTGCAGGGAGTACTGTACAGACAGCTATTTCTTCAGTCTAGTTTTGGACTCTTCACAGTACGCACCAGCCCCGCTAGGGTTCTAACACAGGAACTTCTGGTTACAATGTGGCGAGCTATCTCGTAGACCATTGAGACACTGGGACCTCATCCAATGGCCAGTCCATGGATTCCAACTTCTGCCAATTCACGCATAACATAGCGCGACCACTTTGCCATGTCTTCTTCCATGAGTTACTGCCTCACCTTCATCTTGCTGCACCCTAATGGTCTACGAGCTCGCCTTGTAACCAGGAGGTCCTGGGTTCGAATCTCAGTGGGGTGGGTGCGTACTGCTGAAGAATCCCAAACTAGGCTGACAGAACAGCTGGCTGTTGACTACTCCCCACTGCTTTTCCAATGGTTCTCTAATTGATGTCAGCTTATGGTGAAATCTTCCAGCAAATCAAACAAAATCCCTACAAAACAAATACTTGAAAATACTTTAATTAAATTTCAGAAATGCGAAATATCCTACTGTTATATTTCATTTTCTCTGAGATTTATAAGAGTATAATTTTAAGATATACCTTCTTTTCATTCTGCACCATGTGATTGTGGAGTTATTCTTGTTCAACTGTCAGGAAGATCGTCATCGCAGTTGATGAGTTCAAGATAGGACGAAACACGTGCACTTAGTTTGACTGCCAGCCACCTCACCAAAAAATAAAAGACTGCCTAGGATGAATGATTTGATGTTATTGCAAAAGCATATCTCTACCACTTATTATTAGAACACCCAATGGTAGCTATTTTGTAACTTTTATGATTCAATAAATACCACACCGATATCACACAGTGATGATGCAGTATTAACTACTGGATAATGTTTCGAGCACAATTTATTGGTTGTAATCATATCAGTCCAGTCACTTGGCTTCACAATTGGTCTCTCTCTCTCCCTCTTCTTGTTGTTTTTGCTACTTTCCATATCTGCAGTATAGGCGTAGTGTCATTCCTATTGCAAGTGTGTGGTGTTGAGTTGACGACAAACAAAGCTTCAGTGATTAATCACTCTACTACTTCACCTAACTATATTACCTTTTAATACTCTCACCCTGTCTCCCACCCAACTTATTGTGTGATTACATGCAAGTGAATGCAATGCAACGGCTGAGTTTGTTTCTAGGTTATTTAACTCAGCAGGGTCAACCATTCCAGGTCTAGCTAGCTAAATGTTTATCTTCCAGTAATTCAGTTGGTCCCCAACTACTAGTCTGACCACTGTAATTAACCTCATCTACTGTCATTACATGCTATTTAATAAATTATATTAGTTTTCCTAATTGGGTTCTTAAGCCGACAAAGTTTATCTCTGAGAGAGTTGGCTGGCTGGTTTAAGTGCCACCCTAATTCCAGCGTCATTGAGAATCCTACGTAAGGTCTCTGATGTTCCTTCTTTATACGGCAGTACTGCAGAGACTTTGAATTCTATATTATTTTCGTTATTTTCGTAACTTTTATTGCTAATCTTAGTTTTTTCTATGGTTCTTCATATATTTCTAAATATATTCTGGTGGGTAGTGTGTTATTCACTAGTAATATTTCCTTGATTCGTTCGGTTTCATTATTTAAATCTTCTGATCTACTGGTTAGGTTCCTGACCCGATTATACAGACATTTAACTAAACCCATCTTCCTTTACGGATTTTGGATGGGATGAACTGAAGTCGAGCCTAAGTATTTGTTAGAGTGTGTTGGTTTTCTAGTAGTGCCAGTATCTAACAGCCCACCATCTTTTTTCGTTTTATTCGCTAGTCTAGGATTGCCAATTCACCCTGTTCGTTTTCTAACTCAGAAGTAAATTCGATTCCGTCTACTATTGAGTATATGTGTGTTAGGAATTGGGGGATATGCTCAGATTTCAACACAATGAATGCATCATCCACATATCTCCGCCATAAGCTAGGAGCAATATTAAACGTTCTAAGAGGCATATTTTCCAAAATATCCATAAATACGTCTGCCACTATTGGGGATCCACTATCGTGATCCCATCGACACCTTATTCGTTTGTTTATATAGTTTATTTTGAAATTTGAATACAGCGAAGGTTAGACACAATGCCTATACGGGAGATATAGAAAGTGGCAACAGACGACAAAGGGAAGTTGGAGGGAGAGGCAGAAAGAGAGAAGAAATATGTACATAAGACAAACTGTGAAAACGTGATACTAAATTGATGCGAATATGAGTATATTTATTTTATTATTATTCCCTTGCTTGTGTGGAAAGAAGGCAAAGTACCCGAGGATTGGAAGAAAGGAGACTTAAGTCAATGCAAGAACTGGCGCGGAATTATGCTCCTGTCCATCACAAGCAAAATACTAAGCCGCATCATACTGGAGAGAATCAAACATGCCAACCTGGATGAAAAACTTCGACAGGAACAGGCTGGATTCAGGAGAAACAAATCATGCATTGATCAGATCGCCACATTACGGATCATCATTGAACACAGCTTGGAATGAAAGTCAGCTCTCTATCTCAACTTCACTTACTTTAAAAAGGCCTTCGATAGCGTCGATCGAGAGGTGATTTGGAAACTACTTCGCTACTACGGGGTGCCACCGACAATTATACAGCTCATCCAACAGCTATACGACAATGCTGCATGCCGCCAAGTAATCCACAACGGGAAACTTACGGAACCCTTCGAAGTGAGGACAGAAGTAAGACAAGGCTGGCTGCCTACTATCGCCAATGATTTTACTGATTGCAGTAGACTGGATAATGCGACAAACAGTGAGCGGGCAATGAGGAGACAGGCATAAAATGGACTCACACAAAAAACCAACTGGGAGGATCTGGACTTCGCCGATGATATATGTCTGATTTCCCACAAACTGGAAGATATGCAAGCGAAAAGCAACAAGTTGGCAGAAGAAGCATCCAGAGAGGATAGGACTTCAGGTGAACATAGAGAAAACAGAGGTGATGAAGATTAATGGACAAGAACAAAAACAACAGACAACGACCAGCATAAATGGGAGGAACCTGAAAGAAACAACCTCCTTTAACTACCGACATGGGAAGCATCGTTTCAACTACATGCGTAACTGACGAGGATATCAAAGCGAGAATCGGAAAAGCAAGACAAACTTTCATTACTCTGAAGTCTGTGTGGAGGTCAGCAACACTCAGCATCAAAAATAAGATACGGATTTTCAACTCCAATGTTAAGTCAGTGCTACTCACTATATGGATCAGAGACTTGGCCAGTGCGTCATAAAGAGCATCTCAAACAAACTACAGATCTTCATTAACAGTTGTCTTCGCCCAATACGCAAGATCAGATGGCCGGACAGAAAAGATCAGCAACAGGAAGGGATCGCTGGGAACGAACCAACCAAGAACCGATTGTGAAACAAATATGCAGGAAGAAATGGAGATGGATTGGTTATACTCTGAGGAAACCATCAAGTGATATCACTAGACAAGCCATTGCTCGAGTGGAACCCGAAAGGGAAGCAGCGAGTTGGTCGTCAGTGCGAGGGTGACTTGGAGGAGGTCATGTGAAGAGGAGATGAAAACGTGTGGGCAGACTTGGAGCCAGGTGAAGACTCTAGCAGAGAACCGAACGCAATGGAGACGCGCGGGTGAAGCCCTATGTTCCTCTAGGAATTAAAGGAAACAATAATATAATCCCTTCCTTTCCGAGTGGAAAATAGGGAGGGCTTCAACAACACATCTCCACTTTGTTCTGCTTTCTGCCGTCCTCTTCAACTGGGTCCACTACTGACGAAACTGTCTCGTCTCTTCCTCATACGATCTCCTTCGTGTTATCCTAGGACGACCCACTCGTCGCTTCCCATTTGAATTCCACTTGAGCGATGGCCTTCGTTGTTTACGATTTCATTCAACGGTCTCATCAGCGTGAGCCCACTCCATCTCCATTTTCTCATACATATTTGTTGCGCGATCGACTCTTGCTTGTTGGTTTGTTCCACTGCAGAGTTTCTTTTTACTTATTCTTTCTTGCCATTTGGTCTTCAGTATGGAGCCAGTGAAGGTGGCAGCTGTTGATAAAAGTCTGTAACTGGCTGTTGGAAATGCTTTTCGTGAATCACACTTAGTGTGAGTTTCTGACCTGTATAGAAGAACCGACTTCACATTGGTGCTGAAAATGCAAATCTTGTTCTTCATGCTGGCTGATGGAGTGCAGAAGATTTCCAAACTGGTTTCAGGTTGATGAAGGAGTGTCTTATCTTTCTGATTCTGACTGCCTTTGAGATCTTCGTCAGTTCCGCCTGTAGTTGAAACGATGCTCCCTGGCCAGATAAGTGAAGGGAGGAAGCAACCTCTATCAAATCTCTCCCGTTGATAGTGATTGGTGCTGGTTGTTGTTGTTGCTGCTGTTGATTGGTTACCGTCATCACCTCCGTCTTATCTATGTCCACCTGGAATCCTGTCTTCGCTGCTCGACAGCCTCTTCCTCCAGTTTGTTGGTTTTCGCCTGCCTGCAAGTCTTCGAGTTTGTGTGACATTAGACATATATCATCTGCGAAATCTGAATCTTCTAGAGTCTTCTTATCTGTCGTCCAGCGTATTCCTGACTACTCGCCCCCAACAATTTGATGCATAATCCAGTCCACCGCAATTAAGAATATCATCATTGATAATAGTCAGCCAGCCTGGTATTACTTCTGTATGCACTTCGAACGCCTCGTTGAGTTTTCCGTTGTAGATCACTTGATACGTGACAGTGTCACATAGCTGTTGAATAAGGTTGATGAAGACTTGAATTACTCCGTAGTTGTGAAGTAGTTTCCAAATTACTTTTCTGTCAATGCTGTCCAGTGCGGGCCTTTTCATAGTTGGTGAAGTTGAGGTAGGAAGGTGTTGGTCTGCCATTCTATGCTTTACTCTGTGATGATGATGCGTAAAGTTGCAATTTGATCAGCACATGATTTGCCTTTACTGAATCCAGTCAGCTTGTTACAGTGTGGCTGCCGGAGTTCTATATCCAGTGAATCCTTTATTCTCTCCGGGATGATGCGACTTAGTATTTTACTTGGTATGGAAAAGAGCAGAGTTCTTTCAGAGTGAGGCGTAAGCCGCCCTTCTTTAGCAGTTTGACGAGGTAGCCAGCCTTTCTTTCCTTCTTTCCATACATTTTGCAGTAATGGAGTGAGAACATCTGCCGTAATCTCTTGGGCCGTCATCAGTGCTTCGGGAGGGATGCCGTCTGGTCTTGCTGCCTTCCCTACTGGACTTTAGAAGTTTGATCGCATTCAGGATTTCTTCTTTCGTTGCAGGATTGGCGTCCACTGGCAGGCATTTCTGTGTGTGCTGTTGACAGTATTTCTGGGTGAGCTGCCGGTGGTGGTCGACTCAAGAGTGGCAATAATTTTTGCTCGAAACCCTGTCATGTAATTGTTAATACTGCATCATCACTGTGTGCGATTATTAAAATAAACTTATCTAATATGGAAATGATATTACTTCACTAATATTACAACGCTCTCACTTCTTTTGAGAAAATGACCTACAATAATACAACTTACCTCATTCTCTTTTACTATTTTCTCAATAGGCACTGACATCTGGTATTGTAATCTCGACATTTGCCATTCTTCCATCAACTACTTGGTCAATGTTATCCTGGATTATCGCCAGTATCCTATTCGGTGTATTCTTCATTGCTGGTTTAAAGCTACAATTTGATTTAACAAGATACTGGCATTTAATTATTATTTACGCATTGATAATGATGTGTCTAGGCTTTATCATATCAGTACTGTTGAATGAATTGAAAACAGGTCAAGTAAGTTATATATATGTCTAAACCAAGTTCACTTTTTAATAGTTTAAAAAAATTTGGGCATTGTGTATATGATATTCATTCATTACTATAAAGGTTTTTGTATTGCCCAATGAATTATTATTGTTACTACTATCATTGTTTCCTTTAATTCCTACAGGAACATAGGGCTTCAGCCGTGCGTTTCCATTGCGTTCTGTTCTCTGCTAGAGTCTTCACGCGGCTCCATGTCTGCCCACACGTTTTCATCTCCTCTTCACATGACCTCCTCCAAGTCACCCCACCGTCGCACTGACGACCAACTCGCCGCTTGCCTTTCGGGTTCCACTCGAGCAATGACTTGTCTAGTGATGTCACTTGATGGTTTCCTCAGAGTATGGCTAGCCAATCCATCTCCATTTCTTCCTGCCTATTTGTTTCACAATCGGTTCCTGGTTGGTTCGATCCCAGAGATCCATTCCTGTTGGTGATCTTTTCTGACCGGCCATCTGATCTTGAGTATTGAGCGAAGACAACTGTTAATGAAAATCTGTAGTTCGTTTGAGATGCTCTTTATGACGCGCAGTGCAAGTCTCTGATCCGACTTCACATTAGAGTTGAAAATCCGGATCTTATTTTTGATGCTGAGTGTTGTTGACCTCCACACAGACTTGAGAGTAGTGAAAGCTTGTCTTGCTTTCCGATTGTTGCTTTGATATCCCCATGAATGAAAAAAGCAAATCGATATTGTTGTGTTTACTGACGTTTCGCTATTTAATACTAATAGCCTTATCAAAGTAGTAATATTAAACCAGAATTTACAAAATCTCAGGGTATATATATGTATAACAACTTAATCATCGGGAGCAGTATCGGACGTCGGTAAACTACCATTTCTAGACTGCCTAGTTAAGAGGACGGAAAACAGACATTTTAGTATATCTACATTCAGGAAGAAAACTCACTCCAACAAAGATTTAGACTTCAGATCATCACACCCCATCATCGCAAAAGTATCAGCTGTTTCAATTCTTCTTCAACGAGCACACTCTCTGACTGACAACGGATGAGAAGGAGAAAGGAGAAGAAATATCAAACATTACTGAGACTCTCAAGCCAAACAACTAACCAAAGAACTTCATCAACAAAATCAACACTGACATTATGTGTGGTCGGAAACGTATTCCGAAAACACGAACCTCAACAGTCGTCATTCCATATAGAGCAGAGACGTCAGACGATTGATATCAGAAGAGTACTCAATGAGCACGACATCAGAGTTTTCTTCAAAACATCAGACACACACTACAAAGCAACCTTGTCCATATAAAAGACCAAATCCCTAAAGATTCTCTACCTAATTCTGTCTGTAAAATAAAATACCTGCTCGGAATGTGATGTGATATACATCAGACAGACATCGCTAGGAAGAAATCAAAATCAGAAGAAATGAACACCGTAGAGCCACATCTGTTCGACCACCGAGAAATCCAGTTGAACTAGACAAGCCTGAAAAATCATCAGTCAGCCATAGTTTGTCCGCACGCTATAGAATCAGGCCACAAAATTAACTTTGACAATATTGAAATCATCATCCAGAAGAATTTCACAAATCATATAGAATGTCTCATTTCATCAGAAGCACTATATATCAAATGGAATCCGAATTGTCTGAATAGGAATGATGGACTAAACCAGAATTTGATCTGGTTACAACACCTCCCTCCCCAATGAAGTGACAAAATCAACACGAATATGATTATCGATTTCATTATGTAAACACACGGTGTTTTTACAATGTTACACATTTATCAAATCCAACAATCTACACCTGGTTTTGTTATCTTTACCAGTTGGCCAACTTGATAACGCAAAAATGACCCCATGCTGAGTGAAAGTGATGATTAAGTTGTTAAATATAAGCCGAGATTTCGTAAATTCTGCTTTATTATTACTACTTTGATAAAGCTATTAGCAGCATTGAATAGCGAAACGCCAGTAAACACAACAATATGGATAATGAAGGTCAAATAAGTTCTTAAAGACAATTGTGTAATAGCAGTTGTTGTTTTAGAAGTGTGGCGTACGCTACGGATAAGAATCTGTAGGTGGCATAACGATGACGTCTTCTGTAAGAATATTGTATAGTGCAGCGTAGGATTAAGTTGCAAAGACGAGAAATGAAGACACAGAAGTAGAATACAAATACAATCATTTCCACTTCCCTTTGCAACTTTATCCATCATTCTATGTTTGAAGATTCTTCCAGAAGTCGTCACCTATATGCTACTTTCATATCCCAATCAACAGTACACGCCGTAGTAGTATTATATGGGAAATATTCAGTCTTATTCAAAAAGAATTGTATTAAACTGTTAAGATGAAAGTATCTTTTATGCAGTTCTGATACCTAAGATAGAGTGAGACCATGCATCTACCTTCTGAACTAGCATTGGAGCTAGATATTGTTGTTCATTCTCACAGTTTCTCTTTAGTTTTGCCGTTCGTAACATTCTGGATATAGCTCTTGGGGATTTGTCTAGTTGTAGTGGAGATCTGCTGTCTGGAGAGAGCAAGCGATATCGTTTTGCAGAAAGATTACCACCAAATCGCAATTAATTACTTGACGACTAGTGCCTGTATTTATGGCATAAACTATAGACAAAGTAAGATTGTCACAAGCCTATAACCAAACTCATCCTCTTAGTTGAACCATCAGAACAAGGGTCGACAAATTCAAATATTTGGGTAGTTGTGTGGTTCCTGCTGTGGGTGTAACATATGATATTCCAAGTTGAATATTGAAAGCCAGGGCCATCACTGTTGGCATCGTGACATTAATATAGCCCTGAAGAGTCCGGTTGATGACACTTCTCAGTCTTGCTTTATACACATGTGAAACCTGTCTTAGCCGAGCTGATAATTTTGTATCACTCTACGTAATTGGCCGTCGCTGTTTCTGTTGTACTTCTTGCATTGTTATCACCGTAAGAGTATTTCTGATATGCAGCGGTGTATGTTTTGATCTTATGGAGGACATCTTTCACTTATTGATGTTATCTCTGATAGTGGATTTGCTGAATTAGATATATGCTTTGAATGCCATCTCATTTTCTTCCATACCGATTGAGCATTGTTTATTAGTCTTTAAAATGAGTTCGAAATACGGTGGAGTGATCGGACCATGACATGACAAAATAGGCGGATAGGTTAGATACTTCTAGAGCATCGCAAACCCCCACCCTCTTGGTGGGATCTGAAAGATTATCCAGTTTTGCTTCTGAAAAAGTTATCAGATATGCGTGAAAATGGAAATCAGTGGTGAATGTACTGCGATTTCCACCATTCATCTCTTCCGAAAAGTTACATGAACGTTGCTTTCAATATTCGCATGTTTTCATGATGCCGTTCATCACTTATTCTATTTCTCTATTCCCTGTACTATCGTTTTATTAATTTTGTGTGGTGGGAATCTTCATATCCATATTTTACTCGGTTCTCGTCTCAGATATTAAAATGCTTTTTTTCCCAACTTTAATATCCAGTATTAATGCTTTTGATAACTACAATTCCTTAGACAAAGCTGTAACAAGATGTAATTTGTCTGAATCGAATTGTAATGTATTTGCACAACACATTTCAAACAATCTGATCACACACGGACTTGTCACTGGAATATATATGAAATTAATAAAGAGTGAGTTAAGAGGTGAGAAAATAGACTTAGGTCAAGTTAAAAGGACATGAAGATCACTAAACCAAATAAGATAGGTAGTAGTACATCTGCCCTATCTGGTATCAAAACAAAGTTTACCAAGGAAGGTTTAGTGTGATGATGAATTGTTGCTTTGAATGCATAAAGGTGGTTTGAAATTCCCAGTTGGTGCGGCTTCCACAAACTTTAAAATATACCCCAAACACGTACCTTAAAATTTGTGGAAGCCGCACCAACTGGGAATTTCAAACCACCTTTATGCGTTCAAAAACAATTCATCATCACAATAAACCTTCCTTGGTAAACTTCGTTTTGATACCAGCCAGCGTAGATGTACTATTACCTCTGTTATTTGGTTTAGTGATCTTCATTGTTATTTCGACCTTCAATATGTCCTTTTAACTTGACCTAAGTCTATTTTCTCACCTCTTAACTCTTTATTATTCTGTTACACAAATATTCCTGTGACAAGTCCGTGTGTGATCAAGTTGTTCGAATTGTGTTGTACAAATACATTACAACACGATTCTTATGGCTTTGTCTAAATTCACGAAGGGAACTATTAATAATTCCTTAATTATTATGGTCACGTGTCTCCAGAGCCTGATAAAGACTTAATTGGAAAGAATCATCTCATGTTGATGAACGATCATTCAGTTGTTACATATGAGCTGAGATTTTGTAAATTCTGGTTTAATATTACCACTCTGATAAAGCTATTAGTATCAGTGAATAGCGAAATGTCAGTATACACAACAAAATCGATTTTGAAGTATTAGTTTGTAGGTATTTGATTGATTGGTTACAGGATTTCATCTTGAGCTGACACTGGCTAGAAAACCACTGGAAAACCTGGGAGTATTGGACAGCTGTTTCGTCCTAGTTTGAGCCCCTGTGGGTGCGTATTGCTGACGAGTCCCAAACTAGGAAGAAACAGCTGTCCAGTACTCCCAGATTTTCCAATGGTTCTCTAACCAATGTCAGCTCATGATGGAATCCTGTAAAAAATAGATTTTCTTTTCACTCATTGGGTAATACAAAACTTTTATAATGATGGAAAGAATATTCTTTATAAATTGTTTGATATAATCTCAGTGTGTCTAAGATAAAATCAGAACAAGATATTTCTTAAACACGCTGGTATTATTTTAAGTAAATTATAACAATTCAATCTGACTTGGTGCTCAAAATGTTTCGGGGAATTCGTAACATCTACGGTCTGGAAACTTAAGGAGCTTCTTTGTTTGCTAGTCAAGCTTTTAAAACTTGAATATCTCCTATTTAATTCTGATATATGGCGAATTGTCGGTTCAGTCATCGCAACACAGAAAGGTTAGATTTAAAAGTGGCTAACTCTGTGTGTCTTTTTGAATTATTGAATTTTTTTTATTATTCCCTTGAGTTCTGAGTGGAACATAGGAAGGGCTTCAACAACCCATCTACACTTTCTTCTCTTCTCTCCCGTCCCCTTCAGCTAGGTCCACGATTGACCATAATCTCTCATCTCCTTCTCGCCACACGATCTCCTCCATGTCATCCTCGCAACGACGAACCACCCGTCACTTCTCATTCGGATTCCACCCGAGCAATGGCCTGCATTGCGCGCGATATTATTCGACGGTCTCCTCAGCGTGTGCCCGATCAATCAATCTCCATTTTCTCGTACATATTTTTTGAGTGATCGGCTCTCGCCTGTTGGTTTGCTCTCAGATTTTCTTGTTACTCATTCTTCATGTCCTGCTGGCCATTTGATCTTCAATATGAAGCCAGCCAGCGACGTGGTGTAGCTGTTGATGAAAATCCACAACCTGTTGGAAATACTTTTCGTGACTGACACGCAGTGCAAGTTTCTGACCTGTATAGAAGAACCGACTTGAAATTGGTGTTGAAAATGAAAATCTCGTTCTTTATGCTGGCTGAGTGCAGAAGATTTCCAAACAGGTTTCACGTTGATGAAAGCGTATCTTGCCTTTCCGATTCTGACTTTAACATCTTCATCCGTTCCAAATGGCTTTAGTTGAAACGATGCTTCCTCTCCAAATAAGTGAAGGAAGGAAGTAACCTCTGTCAAATCTCTCCCACTGATAGTGATTGCTGCTCGTTGTTGTTTTTGCTGTTGTTGATGTTGGTTGGCTATCTTTACCACCTCCGTCTTCTCCATGTTCACCTAGAGCCCTGTCTTCAATGACTGCTTCTTCACCCAGTTTGTTGGTTTTTGCCTGCCCATAAGTCTTCGAGTTTGTGTGACATTAGACATATATCATCTACATACGAAATCGAGATCTTCTATAGTCTTCTTATCGGTGGTCCAAAGTATTCCTGTGCACAGCCTGACACATAATCCAGTCCACCACAGTTACGAATATCATCGGTGATAATCGACAGACAACCTCGCCTTACTCCTGTCTCCTCTTCAAACACCTCTCTGAGTTTTCCGGTTGTGGAATACCTGACACGTCGCAGGCATTGTCATACACCCAAAAGTTGAATAAGGTTCATAAAGACTTGAGTATTGCACTCCGTAGTCTTGAACATAATTTACAATACAATACATTAAACTTAACACTGAACACGTATCTTATCAAATTTCGCCATAATCGCACTCAACAAATATCGCTCATTGATTTTTTCTTCTTCTTAAAGGTTCAGACTGATAATAAAATGTGTATTTACCTTTCTCAATCAATATTTTAGGTAGCTAATCATATACTTGGCGCAATTTATGTTCTTATATCTATTCCTGTAAGTTGTCTGAAATTCCATTTTATTGTTATGAAAAAAAGTTTAAAAAAAGTAAAATGAATGTGAACTAATCGATCCAACTATTTCTATGCCATATTATGGTTGGAATGTTGTTGGAACAAACAAAGCTTGGTTACTGTCCTACTCAAGAACACTTATATATATATATATATATATATATATATCGTTAGTGCTATTAACTACAAGTGTAATGAAAACAATATTGTTTATTTTAGTAGAGCAATCTACATTGTACTAACAGAAATTACACGCGATCAGTATTACTGATGTTTATCTCACGCAAACAATTAATTATCTAGATGATTTAGGTACAGTGTAGACAATTCATACATTAAAGGAAATCAATACTTAAAGTAATAATATAATTCGCCGTATATGTATATATATAACAAGAGTAAACACGTATTTATTGATTATATACTTTGTATATGTGCACATACCACACTGATTTAAACGACTAGACAAGTAATCAACCATCTTGTTGAATTGCATATCGATTTGTAACTAGACTATCATTTGTAAAAATTATATATTTTCTAAAGTTTGGATTGTAAGGGTTTGTTATGTTCTTTTTTTTACGAGTTGATCACGGACTGATATCAGTTAGAGAACCATTGAAAACCAGCCAGGGAGTACTGGACAGCTGCTGTTTCATCCTAGTTTTGGGAATCACCGGCAGTACGCACCCACCACAGGGGGTTCGAACCCAGGAGCTTCCGGTTACAAGGCAGGCTGGCTCGTATACCATTCAGCCACTGGGACCCGATTCAATGGCTCATGAATTCTAACTTCTACCAATTCGTGATTTAGCGCGACGTGTGTGGATGGATGTCCCACCAACGACAATGGTTGGGGTCGCGCTAAAATCATGAATTGGTAGAAGTTAGAATTCATGAGCCATTGAATCGGGTCCCAGTGGCTAAATGGTATACGAGCCAGCTTGCCTTGTAACCGGAAGGTCCTGGGTTCGAATCCCAGTGGGTGCGTACTGGCGATGATTCCCAAACTAGGATGAAACAGCAGCTGTCCAGTACTCCACTGCTGGTTTTCAATGGTTCTCTAACTGATATCAATCCGTGATCAACTCATAAAAAAAAATTATATGTTTGTAGAATTTCAGAGAAATTGAAATAAGTAACTCCAACGTTTCCAACGTTTGCGCATTCGACAATCTGGTCGGTCGGAACTTCTTCAGGAAAATGAATCGAAATTCACATAAACAGAGGTTTCTGCATAAAAAGGATATCTCTTGTTGCGGTTATTCCCTAAGGCAAAGACATATATCGGATGAGATAAAGCGAATCCTTAACGATCATGACAATATATAAGAGGGTATTTTCGTGCAACTAACTAATACCTTACGCTCCTCATCACTGGTGAAGGTTAAGGATGACAAAATAGAAGAAGACAATCAACAGAATTGTGTATATCAGATCAATTTTGGGGATTGTGACGCCGTATATGTAGGGGAAACTTTCAGACAGGTAAATGTGAAAGTGAAAGAGCATAAACAATGTCTCAAGGTGACTCCAAAGACGGCTGCAGAATTGAAGAAGCTAGAAAATAGATCAGCGATTGCACTGCATTCGATAGAAACGGGGCACTAAATCGACTTTGATAAGACTAAGGTTCTACAGAAAGGTTTCGATTCGTATAAAGACAGAGTGACTGCAGAAGCTTTGCATACATTGGGGAATTTCAACAGTTTGAACAGATGTGAAGGTGTGATGTATCATGATTAATAAATAAAAATAGATATGTATCGCTAACTAATCATAATTGGTCAAAATTCCCGATTGTCTATATCTTCTTCTGGAGAGGCTAACAAATGTTTTACAACTGTTTACCCATACACTAATACACACACACACACACCATTTACACATATATTTTCATATTCAGTTATCTACGATCATGAACTTTTAGTCAGACGTAATCACTAAAATTCTGATAAAGTGTTTAACAAAAGTAGACTAAATTTTGAAAATCTGAGGTTAAATTTTGATCACAGCTAATACAATTTTGTTTATTTTACATGTTGATAACTGTTTTATGACTCATATGTCCGGACAAACGTTTTAAAACAAGAGATGTCCTTTTTATGCATAAACCTCTGTTATGTGAATTTCGATTAATTTCCCTGAAGAAGTTCAAACCAGACTGCCGAACGAAACGCTGGAATTAATCATGAGATAAAATGAGATGAAATAATTTAACGATATATACACATATATATAATTGTTTCCTTTAGTTCCTAGAGGAACGTAAGGCTTCAGCCGCACGTCTCCATTGCATTCGGTCCTCCGCCAACGTTTTCATCTGGCTCCACGTCTGCCCCCATGCTTTCATCGCCTCTTCACATGACTTCTTCCTCCACGTCACTCTCGTACTGACGACCAACTCGCCACTTCCTATTCAGGTTCCACTCGAGAGAGTGCCTGGCGTGTGATGTCACTCACTAGATGGTTTGTTTTCTCCAATGATGGCCAATCCACCTCCATTTCTTCCTGCATATTTGTTACACAATTGGTTCCTGCTGGGTTGGTTCTTTCATTGCCAGAGATCCCTGTTGCTGATCTTTTCTGATCGGCCATCTGATCTTGAGTATTGAGCGAAGACAGCTGTTAATGAAGGTCTGTAGTTTGTTTGAAGTGCCCTTCGTGATGCACCAAGTCTCTGATCCGTATAGTGAGTAGCACTGACTTCACATTGCAATTGAAAATCCCGATCTTATTTTCATTATCCTGCTGAGTGCTGTTGATCTTCTCACAGACTTGAGGGTAATGAAAGCTTGTCTTGCTTTCCCGATGATCGTCGATTTGATATCCTCGTCAGTTCCATCCGCCTGTAGTTGAAATGATGCTTCCCAGGTAAGTAGGCAGGTAGGTAACAAGGATTGCTTCCCTCAGATATCCCCCCATTTACTCTGACTGCTGTCTGTTGCTGTTGGCCAGGACTCTTCATCACCTCTGTTTTCTCTCTGTTAACCTGAAGACTAATGTTCTGTGGATGCTTCTTCTGCCAACTTGTTGGTTTTCACTTGCATATCTTTCAGTTTGTTGGAAATCAGACATATATCATCGGCTATGTCCAGATCCTCCAAGTTGTTTTTGTGTGGGTCCATTTTATACCTGTTTCCTCGAAGCCCGGCCCTCTGTCTGTCGCATTTTCCAGTCTACCGCAATCAAGAAAATCACTGGAGATAGTAGGCAGCTAGTCAGCTTGTCTTACTTCCGTCTTCACTTCGAAGGATTCCGTGAGTTTCCCGTTGTGAATTACTTGACATGCAGCATTGTCGTGCAGCTGTTGGATGAGATGTATAATTGTCGGCGGCACCCCGTAGTAACGAAGTAGTTTCCAAATCACCTCTCGATCGACGTTGTCTGCTGAAGGCCTTTCCAAAGTCAATGAAGCACTCATATTGTTTCACACACTACTGATTTCACTCGCCCTCGAAACCTATATATATATATATATATATATATATATATATGCTAAAACCATTTCTATTGATTATAATATCTGCATATCATCTCAGATATAAAATATACTTTCATATCCAATGTATTTTATTTTTACTATGTTTCAGTGTATTATCTGTGAAGGTCAAATGATGCAAGGCGGGAAATGTATTGTATTTAAAAGGAAACAATTTGTATTAGCATGTTTAATGTGTTGGTTTACGCTGATCTGTACATATTTTGGAGTGCTGTTTCAACTATCAGACTATAATTTCTTTGTATCATATATCTCTAACACATAATAATAATGATCATATAAATACATATATATGCTGATAAGCACCCAGATTTCAGTAGTACTTACAATAAATATTGATATATATTCACACTTTTGGGATATTTTTATCACACTTATAGATGATCTGTGGGTCGACTTTCATCTGGTACTGTCAGATGAATGCGTTGATGACGCCTCCAAAGCCTCAGGATGGTCGGGAGTGGGTGCCTTGCGGTGCGGGTTGGCCACCCCTCCGCACACCTCTTGAAATGCCCCCATATGACCGGGCGTCTTACATAGCCTCTCCTGAGGAAGTCCTACTCACTGCCTTCACGTGGCGGAGGTGTTTTTCACCAAAGTGAGAGGGCGAAAGCGGATGCCCGGCGCTCTTCACCGGGTTGACTGTCCATTGGATGACAGTCTAGGGGAGATGGCTAAACCCTGATTCCAAACCTCCAACGACTGGCGTATGAAGCTCACTGGAGCTCACCGGCAGACGTATGGACAAAGGGCTTGTTGGATGTCCTGGATGTCTGGCCCCATTCAAAAAGGTGTATGAAACGAACTCCGGTCACCGGCTGCCAATAGATAGTGGACTCCCTACTCCACTCCTACTGCCTTGTAGGTCACACTTGGTTGTGTAAAGGCTAGAGCTGCACTCTCAAACAAAAGGCCGAGCGATTCTGGGGACATCACTCGTACCAAATTCCCATGAAACTTCATGAACTCTCTTCATCAGATCGCCGCGCCTGGGCAGCGATGATTCGTGAAGTTCATGAAGCCGGCTCATCCTCCCGTAGGAGATAGCCAAAGTAAAGTAAAGTAAGTAAGTAAGTTGATGACTTATAGGCTAAAGTACATTTTGATTTAATCACCTTCTCATGATGAATCAACTCACTAACTACATAAGTACTTCGCACAGAAATGTAACACATGCTAAATTAGCACACGAGAGAGAAAGACAACAGAAGTCGAATGATAATGCACTCAGTATTCAATATTCCACGAAGGAGAGGGAGAGAGAGGGAAAGTAACTAAATCAATATTATTGATAATGCTCATCTCACTGAAAACGATGCAGACTGTATACATTTACGTTCATCGTTATTATTATTATTATTGTTTCCTTTAATTCAAAGAGGAACAGAGGGCTTCAGCCGCCCGTCTCCATTGCGTTCGGTTCTCTGCTACAGTCTTCACCTGGCTCCATGTCTGCCCACACACCTTCATCTCCTCTTCACATGACCTCCTCCAAGTCATCCTTGCACTGACGACCAACTCGCCGCCGCTTCCCTTTCGGGTTCCACTCGAGCGATGGCTTGTCTAGTGATGTCACTTGATGCATTGTTTCCTCAGAGTATGGCCAATCCATCTCCATTTCTTCCTGCCTATTTGTTTCACAATCGGTTCCTGAGTTGGTTTGCTCATTGCCAGAGATCCCTGTTGCTGATCGTTTCTGGCCGGCCATCTGATCTTGAGTAGTATTGAGCGAAGACAACTGTTAATGAAGGTCTGTAGTTTGTTTGAGATGCTCTTTATGACGCACCAAGTCTCTGATCCACCCGTATAGTAGCACTGACTTCACATTGGAGTTGAAAATCCGTTCATCGTTGGAACAGTTTAATCACGTCACTGATAATCAATAATTATTGATTCTCCTTATCCGGAGAACTTCAGCGGGATAGTCTACAGCATCTTCCTGCATGACTAGCGTCCAACATCTGATGAATTATGCTTTTATTCTGACGACAACTGATACTGTTTTACGCTTAGCATAGTTTTAAATGCCTTTTAGCAGATCATTTCATCCAGTAGGCAACGTCGTGCAACAAATAGGTTATAGAAGAATTGAATAACAGGATAGTCAGATAGACAGCATACTCGTTCGGTATCGTTATACAGATTTTATCTTAGATGGTTGGAGACAGTCGGCAGGAAGCCCAGCTGGACCTAGGTTTCGTGATAGTTGGCAATCACCAGTCAACAAGGCGGCGTATCTGCAACCTTGAAGGAATAGCTCACGACCCTTCTGAGATTCTAACCCGCGTCAACCAGTAGGGCTGCAGTCAGTCAGTGACGTTACCACTGAACTATTCGGGCTCGTGACTGACCTCCTGTAGGACTGTTTTGGATACTTTGATTGGACTTTAGTAACTAGTGTAATGTGTCTAGTCTTTTGTTTAGTGCAGACTGAATTCTATCAGTCAAGTTTGTAATGGATTTCCTTCAAGGTTGCAGTTACATCCTGATGACGAGCGCCAAGTAGGACGAAACTTAGGTCCAAGACTTCCTGCCGATCGCCTTCAACCATCTAAAAGCAACAATGATGGTGATGGTGAGCTACCTAGAATGGTGGCCAGATTGCAAACCTGACTGACAGAATTCCGTTTGCACCAAAGAAAGGATTAGACACATACATTACACTAGTTACTGACTAGTGTCCAATCGAAATCAGCGTTATTTGTTTACTTGAAAAAGGCAAAATTACGCGTTAGTAAGAAGCCGGACCACTTGTTACTGGAACATTTCATCAGATTACATATTTGCTTTACGCTTTAATAAGTGGAAGTAGTTCCGAGGATTTTATCTTTTCATACTTCATGGAAATGGTATTACGTAGATGAATTATTCCCAAGATCATTAATTTATCAAATTATGCCACTTACAGATAAGTTTGTTTATCTGTTCTCTGAATCGACTGTAGTCATAAAATTTTGAAATTACATTAATATCAATAGTGTTGTATCTATCCTTGGTTTCTTTCTCTAAAGTAGCTTGAAATTTACCCTGACTTGTCAGTGGTGTGTGCAGCTAGTCCACAGTGTTGGTGCTTACTGAATTCTATTGGTAATGTTTACAGTGTGGCCACTTTGTTAATTATCTATTATAATCCTACTGGAGATCCGTTGAGAGCTCGAGTAGCTCAGTAGTACTGTCTCTAACTGCAGCTCTGCCCGGCGCGGGGTTGACACTACCACATGGTCTTAAGCTTAATCCCTCCCCCCAAATGTTAGGTGGTCAATTGTACTTTCAGATGCAAGCACGACTTACATGTACTGGTTAGTTCGTAAGGCTCCACTATCATAAATGGCACTGGAGTTGAAACCAAATCGAATGTTCAATACTCTGGACTGTGTATTTCCTCTGGTCACCTTTCCTTGTCTTTCCACACCATGTTAGTTTCCAGAAAGATATTTCATTTGACGTTCTATGCAAAGAAGTTAAGACAGTCCAGTATCACTCCGCCTCTACTGTTACAGTTTGTTAATTCTTGTATTCTGTCTATACTGCTTTACTGTACCACCCCCCCCCCAGCTTCATCTTTCCCGGGCTACATAAGAAAGACTTTGTTATACTGCGTAGGGCACTAAATGCCGTCATTAGGACGAGTTGAGTGTTACTAAACCAACTGTATGTTCGGACGACTAAGCACAAAAACTCTACAATATCCTTATTTAACAGGAACGCATTTTATGCGATGATAAAAGCGTGTAAGACAGGAAATTACCAGCATACTGAGGAACTCTAAGTAAACGGCACTTTAGTTTTGTTCTCATTGTTACGTTGTCGCTAAAATTCTCACCTGATTTAATTTTATACTCACTTATTATTATTTCCTTTAATTCCTAGAGGAACATAGGGCTTCAGCCGTGCGTCTCCATTACGTTCGGTTCCCTGCTAGAGTCTTCAACTGGCTCCAAGTCTGCCCACACGCTTTCATCTCTTCTTCACATGACCTCCTCCAAGACACCCTTGCACTGACGACCAACTCGCCGCCGCTTCCCTTTCGGGTTCCACTCGAGCAATGGCTTGTCTAGTGATGTCACTTGATGGTTTGTTTCCTCAGAGTATGACCAGCCAATCCATCTCCATTTCTTCCTTCCTATTTTTTGTTTCACAGTCGGTTCCTGGTTAGTTCGCTCCCAGAGATCTCTGTTGCTGATCTTTTCTGACTGGCCATCTGATCTTGAGTATTGAGTGAAGACAACTGGTTGTTAATGAAGGTCTGTAGTTTGTTTGAGGTGCTCTTTATGACGCGCTGGCCAAGTCTCTGATCCGTATAGTGAGTAGCACTGACTTCACATTGGAGTTGAAAATCCGGATCCTATTTTTGATGCTGAGTGTTGTTGACCTCCACACAGACTTGGGAGTAGTGAAAGCTCGTCTTGCTTTTCCGATTCTTGCTTTGATGTCCTCGTCAGTTCCGCCTGTAGTTGAAACGATGCTTCCGAGGTAGGTCGGTAGGTTAAAGAGGTTGTTTCTTTCAGGTTCCCCCCACTTATGATGGCTTATTGTTGTCTATTGTTGTTGCTGTTGGTGGTGTTGCCCAGGAATCTTCTTCACCTCTGTTTTCTCTATGTTCACCCGAAGACCTATGTTCTCTGGATGCTTCTTCTGCCAACTTGTTGCTTTTCGCTTGCATATCTTCCAGTTTGTAGGAAATCAGACATATTACATCGGCGAAGTTCAGATCCTCCAAGTGTTTTTTGTGAGTACACTTCATGCCTGTTTCCTCGTTGCCCACTGCGTGTCTGTCACACTAGCTAGTCTGCTGCAATCAGGAAAATCATTGGATATAGTAGGCAGCCAGCCAGCCAGCCTTGTCTTACTCCCGTCTTCACCTCGAATTATTCCATGAGTTTTCCGTTGTGGATTACTTGACATGCAGAATTGTCGTACAACTGTTGGATGAGATGTACAATTGTCGACGGCACCCCGTAGTAGCGAAGTAGTTTCCAAATCACCTCTCGATCTATGCTGCCAAAGGCCTTTTCAAAGTCGATGAAGTTGAGATAGAGAGGTGACTGCCATTATTATATTATTAATGTAAATTAGTATTAATGTAAATGCCCTACTTTAATTATTGCCTCCTGTAATGAGAAAATTAGACGCAATATTGTAGTACACGCTGAAAATTTCATATTTGTACCTAAAGTACTGTTTGCAATAAAGCTATTATTATTATTAAAATCATTTTATGCAGCTTATATTACTTCAGTGTTAAAGATATGTCTTCTTGACGAT